TGAATCTACTAGTGACTCCTGGTGATGTAAATCTAAAAAAAAATGGGGAGGGCGGGGGGGGGGGGGGGGGGGGGGGGGGGGGGGTAGGTGAGATGCATGCCGTTAGAGCCGGTGAATAAAAAAACAAATAAACTTGTATGATTACCTGTGTTTCTCCTTTTCCATAATACCTGGAGCACTACATAAGCGGCGATCAACGTTAGAATTTTACAAATAGTTTTCCATGGAAAGTTTTCAAACAGCATATATATTAGGGAATATTCCTGAAAAATAAAAGAAAGATCGTTCTTAAATTGGTTCAGTTAATTTGTTATCATTAAATTTCCAACTAAGATATAATGTATACAGTAGTATGCTCAGGCTTTTCAAAACATATTTTGTAGAGAATGACACGTTTTTCCTTATACATGTAGCAAAAAAAAAAATGTTTAACACGATATCAGACTTCAATTCGAACTCGAACTGTAACTCAAAATTAGTTTTTTTAAACTCAATTTCGATAAACATGATTACGACCTTAAAATAATTGTAACATTAGATGCATACTAAACCTCCGATATAAGTAAAACTCTTCGAAATAGCATGCTTATAATAAAAAATTATTTTTAAGGACCTACATCTGCGAACGTGTATCAATATATATAATGTAAGTTATACATTTGAATATTTCAAGTGAGTGTTTTGTTGCGTTCGAGGTACTTTTTGCTTTGGAATACAGAATGTCAACCAGAAAGACGGAGTGAGAAAACTTACCTCAAAATCTAAAAACTCTAGATCATTCGGATCAAACATAAATGCTGGTTCATTGCTGAAAGAAGAAAATTTGGGTTAACTCTAAAAAAGTTTTGAAAATTGCTTTTGATTGATTTGTCAAAGTTAATCTACTAGTGAGTCATTGGTGTGAGTCGTTATACAACCATAGGTGCTAAGTCAGGAAATATTCTTTATTAAATAAACGTATTTTCACATATCTAATGTGTACTTACTCTCATCAATACGATATTACAATAACATTAGACTATATATGATGCCTCTCTTTTCTTATTTTTCCAGGAAAATTGTTTAAAAAGTGGGGGTGGTCCATCAACTTCTTTTTAGGCCCGTAATTAACCAAAGAAATAACCATATTTTCAAAATTCTAATTCTTACTATCCAATTCACAATATATTATGATAATCTTGGACTATGGTTTGGTATGTTTACTATACTAAACGAACGAAGTAACGCACCATTTTTTCAAGTCTCGTTTTTTACATTTACTTTTGTTTACACGATGTACATGGACGAATGGGAACATTTATTAAGGATTAAACTTAAAACCTAAATATCAAGATAAATATCAGAGATTTTTTTTTACATTTTGTAGTTCGCCATATAATATCGTTTAAAAAGTACAGTCACTAAAGACCTATTGTCACTAAGGACCCATTGATTGCCTTGGACTGTTTTCTGTTCTTTTGTCGGGTTTTTGTTTCTCTAACACATTTCCGTTTCCAATCTCTGTTCTATAATCAGACAGTTTTTACTATTGTTAAAAAATATGAAAAATTTAGATACTTACAATTCTACAGTAGGGTTATTAACTGCAGACCACGGTTGAACTATGACCATAGCAACAATGCTTGCTAACAAAATAACAGTCATACTGGAGTATTGCTCGGCAAATTTTATACAACGAACAGTAACACAACTGATTCTTCCACTTTGGTCAATTCTTGGGCGATAGTGGTAGCTAATGGCTTTAACATAACGTCACAATCCTTCCATAAAGACAACAGCATGCGCAACGAAATAGCTTTAGACGACGCTGTACAAACATCTAGACTGCAAGCAACTAGACTGATAACAAACTCAATTTAAGCATCTGTCATTATTTGTACGAGGATATCAACAACGGAATTCATTTTTTTAAAATTTGATATGATTTCCATATCGCTTTCATTATAAAAATAAGGAGATGTGGTATGATTGTCAAATTAGACAACTATTCACCAATTTTTGAAATTTCAAATGAAGTGGATGTAAGCATTATAGGCAACCGCATGACCTTCAACAATGAGATAAATCCATACCGTGTAGTCGGCCATAAAAGGCCCCGACATTAAAAAAAAAAAAACACGAAACAATTCAATTGAGATAACTTATGGACCATTTTATAACAAACAATTTACGAAAATCAATTATGACAGACATAAACCAACGACAACCACTGAACTAGATGCTCCTGAATTGGGACATGCACATAAAGAATGAATCGGGGTTAAACATGTTTGTGAGCGATCAAACCTCCCTCTTACCTGGGACAGTATTGTAACAGCACACCATAAGAACAATTTGGCAAGCCGTTTTACTATTTATTCTAACTTCAAACAAATTTTACGGACGCAATCAACAGTTGGTTGACCGTTATGGAATATCCGTTTCACAGATGACAGCGGATATTGTCCAATTGTTGTAACTACAATCCCGTCCCCTTTTCCATAAATAGGACCAACCCAAAGAGACTCATTACCCTTCCGGAGCATCTGAGATCAGCCCCCGTTTTTGGTGGGGTTCGTGTTGCTCACTCTTTAGTTTTCTATGCTGTGTTTTGTGTACTGTTGTATATAGATATAAGAAGATGTGGAATGAGTGCCAATGAGAAAACTCTCCATCCAAGTCATTATTTGTAAAAGTAAACCATTATAGGTCAAAGTTTGGCCTTCAACACGGAGCCTTGCCTCATACCGAACAGCAAGCTATAAAGGGCTCCAAAAATTACTAGTGTAAATAAAACCATTCAAACAGGAAAACCAACGGTCTAATCTATATAAAAAACGAGAAACGAGAAACAACTATGAACCACATCAACAAACGACAACCACTGAACATCAGGTTACTGACTTAGGACAGGTGCAAACAAATGCAGCGGGTTTAAACGTTTTAAAAGGCGCCAACCTTCACCCTATCCCGAAACAATAGTGTAACATAGAAAGACACACTATAAAATATCAATTGAAATGGCTGAACTCATCAAAAGACATAATAACAAAAACAAGTGAACATACAATGTTTGTTTGGTTTTTTTTTTCTTTTTTTAACATGGCTTTATCAGTTTATTTTTCTATTTATGAGTTTGAGGTTTATAAGAGATGTTATATAGTTTATAAGATATCTCTCATAAAATATATGAGATATTTTATAAAGTATATAAGATATCTTATATAAATAATATTTATTAGATATAGTATAAACTATAAGATATCTTATATAATTTATAGAGATCTTATATAATTTATATGAGATCTTATAACGTTTAGAAGAAATCTTATAAAGTATATAAGATATCGTATAAAGTTTATAAGATATCTTATAAACAATAGATTATATGAGATATGTTATGTGTTATATAAGATTTATCATATACTTGTAGAAAATAATGGTATAATTGTACCCCTTGATAAATATAGATTCTACCACTGCATCGAGTGTGATACGATATTTATCCACTCGAGACAGTTAAATTTTCAAATTTAAAACGCGAGGCTCGCCGAGCGTTTTAAATATTTAAAATTTAACTGCCGAGAGAGGATAAATATCGTATTACACGAGATTTGGTGGTGGAATCTGTTTCTCTAATGATTTTCAAACAATATGCAGGCAAACTTATTCCTTCTTTTTGAATGATCTGCAAAAAGATGTGTTCTTTCTATGTGACGTCATCAGGCATGGTCGCCTTTTTTCATGCCGTCACAATAGGAAATTCAGAGGAAAGCAAGAAAATTCGACATCATAATCGGATTTTAACCAACGAAGAACTGAGATCAAACGAACCACACGTTGATTAAATTTTTTTTATACAATGGATGCAGAAAGGGATAAATTGACGAAGAATTAGAGAAAACTAATTTATACATATATTTATTCAATAAATTTGAAGAATTGTCTTAGCCGTGTGATATAACATTTGTTATCAACTGCTTCCGGTTTATATCAACTGTTTCCAGTTATTATCGCATGCCTTTCTTTAAACGTAATCGCAAAGCATTTCGACGTCATTCTGCAAATTCCGGAAAATAAACCTCAGTGGTACATTTAAGTGAAGAACATAGCTAAGTAGAATAACAGAAGGAATATTAGGAAACAGGAAAATATATTATTAAAAAACGCAAAACAAATAATACAATAAATGAATTTTATAGAGTTTTAAAAAAAAATCATGTCTGTATGGCTTCTGCTGAAGTATATGATAAAAAGAACATAACATGTCATTTTTCATATCAGACCCCTTATCAGCCCATGGTCAAAATCATCACTCGAGCCTGTCGGCTCTCTGGCTGGTATCATGACCTAGGGCTGATAAGGGGTCTGATATGAAAAATGCCATGTTATAATCTATATATATCATATAGTCGATGATATATCTTACATAGTTTATAAGATATCTTGTATTGTTTATAAGATATCACATATAATTTATGAGATATGTCATATAATATACAAGATATCTCATACGATATATCTTATAAACTATACTAGATATCTTAAAAAATATATGAGATATATTATAAAGTTTATAAGATATCTTATATAAAAAATATTTATGGGATCTTCTAAACTTTATAAGATATCTTATATACTTTAGAAGATATTTTGTAAATTTTAGAAAATATCTTATAAAGTATATATTATTAGATATCTTATAAAGTATATAAGATATTTTATAAAAACAAGATTATATAAGAAAGTACATAAAATATTTTATAAAAACAAGATTTTATATCTTATAAAAACAAGGACGTGGCAGGGTATTTATCCATCCATTCATATAGGTTTTGTATTTGCAGCACTTACTGTATGTTGCCCCGAAGATATCTTTCGGTTATTTCTTATTGTTGGTTTGCTGTCTCATTGGCTTATATCACACATCTCCTTTTATTAATAAGAAATAAAACATTTTGAAGGCAGTCAAATAACGTAAATTTTATTATCAAAAATATGAATAATGTTGAATATAAAAGTCAGCTTTCTTCGTCATCCTCGTCACTTCGTCGTCGATCTGAAAAGATAAAAGAAGGAGATATATTAAAACACATCAGTAAAAATAAAGAAAGAAACGAATACAACAAAGAAACACAATGTTCAAAAGTGTAATGACTAGTGTCAATTAGTGAAATGTTTAGTGGTAATTATAATGTCCAGAGTTAAATGTAATGTCAAATTTTGAGTGAAATGTCTACTGTTGAGTTTAATGTCTAGTGTTAAGTGTAATGCAAAGATTTCTGTGTTATGTCTAATGTAAAGTGTGATGTCTAGTGTTAAGTGTAATTTCTACTGTTAATTGTAATGTCTAGTGTTCAGTGTAATATCTAGTATTTAGTGTAATGCCTAGTGTGAAAGGTTATGTCTACTGCATGTTAAGTGTAATGTATAGTGTTAAGTGTCAAGTCTCGTGATTATTAATTCATCTCACAAAATCCCTACATAAAATTGGCAAAACGAAAAGCAAAGGAACAGCGCATTTATTGATGTTCGTCATCTCAAAGTCATAGTGAGATTTTCAACGTGGAGCAAAACCTCATAATCACACTTCAAGTTTAAGACGGCGTCTAACAACGATTTGAAAGTAGTTTCTTGATACTTCTGAGTAAAGGTATAACAAATGAAAAATGAATTTATGGAAAAGTCAAACGTGTTTTATATATTTGTTTATTTACCTTTTCTGATCGTTTATTGAAAAAAAATGTTTTTCTTTTGTTGAATTGTCAAGAAAAAGTAATATTTGCATTGGCCAAAATATAAAAATAAGAAGATATGGTATGATTGCCAATGCCACAACTCTCCCCAAGAGACCAAATGACACAGAAATTAACAACTATAGGTCACCGTACGGCCTTCAACAATGAGCAAATCCCATACCGCATAGTCAGCTATAAAAGGCCCCCAAATGACAAATGTAAAACAATTCAAACGATAAAACTAACGGCCTGATTTATGTACAAAAGTTTACATTGGCCAAATTATCAATAAACTTACCACAGCTTTTCGTTTAGCAAATGGATGTCCTAAAAGTTCTTCCCATGGATCTTCTAGGGGTTCATAGAAGATTATTACGTCCCATTGGCGTACTGCAATAAAAATAAAAATGAATAATGTAAAATGTAAAATGTGTAGATCCAAGTTACATGTTCAGATCGGATAAATCTAAACTTACCGGGAGCATATTCGATATTAGGTATAGAACCACTATAATTCGGGCCCGGTCAGAAAGAACATACAATATAGCAGTATATATTTTTAACAAATTAGTTTCTATATACGTATGGCTGTTACTTTGTCAATAAGTAAAATATTTGGGTAATTTTGGTACCATACGAAAGCTTAAGGACTTATTGTAGAACCCCTGTTGAAAGTTTCTTTTGAATACCGGTAATAAATAAATACATACATTTTTAAAGGAGGGCGTATGTGCCCTGTTGCTCACATCAGAAGTACCTGTTTTTTTGTACTACCAAACTTCAGGGAACCAGTGCGCTCCTATATGCAATTAAAGGTATGTTGAATTTTTCAGCACAAGTCAGGATAAGGTATAGTTTACATGAAATGACTGTCGCTTTATTTGAACTTAGGAAAAAATAGCTATGAATGCTCGAAATTGAAGAATTTAACATAGAACGCAATGGGGTTATGAACTAGTGGTTTATTCCATAAGACAGCTGCCGTTCATTTTTAAATTTCATATCGTATGCTACTTATAATCTCATAAGATTTCTCTCATATTAATTAAATTCCATATCCTGGAAGACTATTGTTTTTTTTTAATTTTTTCGGACATACTTATTCAAATATCTTCATTGTGCTCTTAAAAATATTAATATTGCCAGTCCACCAGTTTTGTGTTTTGTTTTATTTGTCTTCCATATATTTTGAACTTTATATAGGTTTCCTAGAGACCAACCAGAATAAAAAAATCACGTGTTCACCCTTTACTCAGTAGACGAATTAAGCGAAGCGTGGACACAGGATTTGTATTTTAATGAACATAAGAAAAACAGTTTTCAAAACTCTACACGGAAAACTAAAGATAGACAAATTAAATGGTACAAACAAATCCAAATGACAAAAAAAAAAAAAAAAACACCATCAAGGCTTTACTCAGATCATTGAAATGGCAACCAAATCTTGTTCTACTAGTGACACCAGGGATAAAAATCTAAAAAGGGGAAAGGGGAGATGCATGCCGTAAGAGCCGGTGAATAAAATACAAATACATATATTTACCTATGTTTCTCCTTTTCCATAATATCTGTAGCACTACACATGTGGCGATCAAAGCGAGAACTTTACAAATAGGTGTCCATGAAAATTGTTCAAACTGTATAAATAATAGTGAATAATGCTGCAAAATAACAGAAATTTCGTTTTGAAATTGAGTCCGTGGGTCATTACTAAGAAATAATGTATACAGTAATGTGTTCAGACTAATATCTTTAAAGCCTGTAATAAAAAAAAATTAGAACATGTTTTGTAGAGAATGACACGTTTTTCCTCAAGGCTAAAAAAGTTTAACTCGATACCAGACTTCAATTCGAACTGGAACTGTCACTCAAACTTAGGTTTTTTGTAAACTCAAACTCGATAACGAACTTAAACTAATCTTGTTGTTAATTTAATTCATACTTTACCACGAATATAATTAAAACTCTTACTTGATTGTTATCAAAATTCATTTTAAGGACCTACAACTGCCAACGCGTTTCATAAGTTATGACATATTGCAAATCAGCATTTTGTTGGTTGAGTTCGAAGTTCTTTGTTTTCTTTTGAACACGTAACGTCACAATCTTTCATATGTACATAAGGTGACATGCGCAACGACGACATATGATGTAGACCTCGCTCTGTCGATGTGTGAAATAAACTGTATCCGCTTGTATTACGCTACACATGAACAAAGTATAGTAGTCAACCGAGAACCAGCTTATGTGTGTACTAGGGAACACCAGTAGACCCTTTGTTCCGTTATATATACAGTGCTTAAATTGGCCATTTATCGAAGTATAAAAGGGATTAAATGCAGCAAGCAAACGACTCACATGGACTGGATTTCGTTTCTACAATTTTCTTAAATTGTTTACTAAATTCTTTCTTAGACGCAAAGATTTGGTTTGGAAGTTTGGTTGTATATGTAAAAACCAAATTACAAACGGGGTTTGATATCACAAGATTTATAGTTATGTTGTTTAAAGAGCTTGTAAAGGACAATGTTTACTTAAGGCCAAATATGACCTTGAATTTCAACTTTATCATAAAATGTCAAAATGGCCATAATTTGGTTCTTAAATGGGTCATTTTCAAAAGCCTTAAGTTACTAGTAGGTTAATCAATCTCTCCGTAAAAGTAAATTCTAGGCTTCAAATTCAGCACATTTTGGATATATTTTCAAAATATGATTTTGAGAATTTTTCAGACCTAAAAGCTTGAGGAAACCCTTGGCCGCAACCTTAAATTTTGTCATAAAATTATGATATATGTGATCAGTTAATGCAACATTTTACAATCTCGATGTATTTTTGGACTCACCAGTTTTGAAAATGATGAGTCAAGGCAGATTTTCATGACTCATGGACTCGCATTAGTGATAACCTGTCAAACTATGTTTATAATCAAAAGCAGAGAGTATATATATATATATAACATCCCATCTATAGCACCTTATATGTTTAGGTATAAAAGATAAAAACAAGTTGCTTTTTAAAAAAAAAAAGACAATACGTGAACCTTAGAACTTTTTTATTCAAATTATTAATTCAACTGAATAAGAAATTATATATCAGTGTTATCTTGGCCATGTGTGTGGAGGATAATATTTTCTTTTTATTGTAAATCATTACAATTTTGGCATGTTGAGAGAAGTGTTAAATATAAAGCAAGGAGAGAAAAAAAAAAGATTCCCAGACGTATAATTTCTTAAAGAATAATAATAATTCAAAACATGGAGGACACATGTACCTTCTTCCAAGAATTCATAAGATTAATCTAGAAATAAGTAATGAGGCATTGCGAACTGGTCAGCTAGCAGGATACATTAATGTTCGACCAATCATCAATAAGTGTAACTCTCCCGCGAGAGATACTTACTTGATCTAATTATAAATATAAAAAAGAAAATGTTGTATGATTGCCAATGAGACAACTCTCCATAAGAGACCAAATGACACAGAAATTAACAACAACATACCGCATAGTCAGCTATAAAAGGACCCGAAATGACAAATGTAAAACAATTCAAATGAGAAAACTAACGGCCTAATTTATGTACAAAAAATGAACGAAAAACAAATACATTTAGAAGAAACTGTTATCACTGAATGCATTAGAATTTATTGACACACAGGAGAATATACTTTAAAGATTCACAACAAAATAGATTTAACTGCATTTGTTAAATTAATTCTTAGAAACAATGAATTTGAGTTTAATGGACTGTTATATAAACACATTATTGGAGCGCCCATTGTCACCAACATGCACAGATCTGCATATGTCTGCCCTATTCATTAAAATCTTAGATAAGTTCAAATGGAGAGAAAACATCAAATTACACTGTCAATAGGGATGACGGTTTTATGGTCTTCACAGGCAAATTAGAGCAGGTTGAAAATTTCTTTAACCTTGCAAACGAAATTGACCATTTACTTAAGTTCTGATATGAGGTGTCGACATCTAGTATGGCCTATTTAGAGGGTGGTAAAGGGTTATTTTCGTGCATCGTTTTCGGCCTTTTTATTTCACGTGTTTCCGTGTTTCGACGTTTTATTTCTCGTTTTCTCGTGTTTGGTTCGATGTGCGTGCTTCGTGTTTTCCCTTAATTATTTTCCGTGTTTCGTGTCGGTACTCTTATTTTCTCGTGCTTGTCCCGCATTTGATTAAAAAGTAAACCGGGACTAAAAAACAGTCAGCCCAAATATTGTTTTAAATCATAAACTAATTAACTGGTCCCAAGATATTTATTAATAGCCTATTGTATTACTATGATAAATCGGATGCAACTAACGGACGCTAAAAGGTGACCACATGCAGGGTCGCCATGTCCATTTATAATGACTGCATGATCTCCAAGAACGGCTAAGTAATAACGTTTGGTACTTTTTTCCTTAATATTTACGATTTTATTCCTTGGCTTCGTTTTTCCAGAGTGTTTACAACGTTTCTGCGATTTGTTATTTCACGTGTTTCCGTGTTCAGACCCTCCCTTTTACCACCCTCTATTTAGATACCGAAGTGTACAAAAGTGAACGATTCCATAATAATGGAATTCTTGATGTTAAGTCACATATATTAAAAACACAGAAACGTATCAATATTTACCAATCACTAGTGCACATCCACAACACACATAAATTTAAGAGCATTACAGTGTGTGAATAATATAAGAAATTTCTACTTCTACCACTAAGTGACCACCGTCATTTGGTTGACTATCCTGTCACTGTTTGGCGTGCGTTTGCATACTTAACAAGTCCAAAAACAATGTTAACAGAAAGGAAATAATTTGTGCTGTACATTACATTTATACATGGTGCAAATAAAAACATCGGACTTGAAATTTAATGTGCATGCAGTAGTCTCTTGAACGAGTCAAGACTTTCTGCAGCGGTCACTGAAATAATAGTGACATCAATGAATTAAATAAACATTTAATTAACTTACAAGATAACTTAATTGATAGAGAATACTGTAAAAAGGAAACAGTAAAAGTTGTAAAAATGTATATTAACGAACAGTCTTTATTTAACTTGTTTTATTTTCATTTGAAACAGATTTTTTTTTATCTGATTTGTCAAAATGACAAGTGTGCATAATGATTTTATTGTTACAAATCAAATCCCAAAGCCCACTATAACTCATTATGTAGAAACCACAGCACTATTTTAAAATACCTCTCTGTGAATATCTAGACACAGATTTTTGATACCGCAGGTTGTTATAATTAAATCTTGACCATTTAACTTTCACTTGTTTATCAAAGGGTACAACTGTCAACTTTGCTCAAGTCAGTAAACCATTGCAATGCATAAAATGTAGCTTTACAATAAATATACATATTTGAAAAGGATCTATAGATTGTTTATTATCATACAATGTATATCAGATAAGTGAATTAGCGATCTTCGAAAATTCTTTATTGCCATGTTTTAATTATCTTTGATACACCGTATGGAGGTGCTCTTAATTGCAGGAAGCTAATACAGATAAGATGAATAGGTGTTCCGAATGAACAATAATTTAGCTTCCGAATATTCCTCCATAGACTATATTTCTAACTAATAAATATGCGTGAACCCTCAGGGGTTCACGCAACTAGAATTATTCCGAATTAACTTCAGATGCATCATTAAATTCTACGAAATGGTCCCAAAATTCGGATTGACGAAAGTTTTTCGTGTTTTGTTCTGTTTTTATTTTGAATTAATTTTCCGAATAATTCTACATCCTTTGCTTGTGTGCACGTTGTCCAACATCTATATAAGGTAATAAAAACTCCTCTTAGTTGGACCGCAAATTTTGTTATATTATTTGGTGTCATTCATTTCTGTTCCGGTTTAAAGAAGCATATAGTAAGATGTAAGAATGTCATTTTAATCGGAAAATATCTCATATTTTGTTACGATGAATGAAATTGAAGAAAATAAGTCTGCGACATAAACTCCTCTTTTGATGCGTTTTCGAACGAATGTTTGATATTTTCATATTGATTGACTTAATATAATAATAACAAAGAGTCTGTTAACTTTCAATATCATTTTAGATTTCAATTTCAATTTCCAATAAAGATGACTTTTTGTTTAAATTCCTTTCCGAGTCCTTTACGCTTCAGATTGTATAGTATGAATGAGGTTCCGTGTGTTTTGTGTTTCATTCGTGTTTCGATTTCGTTTTGTGAAACAAAGATAACAAGTCAACAAAAGTGTATAAAATAGAACATTTCTGAAATCTATCAATAGCAAGGGTCTGAAAGGAGTTCTAGACTATTAAAATATTTTATTTCTTTCAGTTATCTTTTGTTATAATTTTAAAAACTTAAATAAATCTTCCAAATTTTTATGGCTCTTGATCCAAGAAAATGTATCTCGTATGCAAAACATGGGCTGTTATATTGGAGAGTGTTTTGAATTAAGTAGATCAGGTATGAATATTGATACTAAGTCTAGTAAATAATTTGAGAATGAATGCATATAATGTAATTTTATTATTTTTTTGTGCATTCACAATATATATTGTTGTTGGCTCTGATTCTGACCAATGCTAATATACTAAATATACATTTACATGTACACTGTGATGTTTATTGTTGTAATTAACAAGTATGTCAATCAATTGTAACTGATTTTATGC